GTTTGAGGCCAGCCTGGGCTACATAATAAGACGCTGTCTCAAAAAGAAAAAAAAAAAATTGCCACTTTGCAAAATGCAGTGAAATCATATCTTCAAACAGCACTTGTCTATGGTGCTGTAACCTGTAGGGTAAAACAACAGGGATGACGGGGAAAAGACTCTCAGAGCATCAGGGCATGATCTGGTAAGAATTGGTAAGGAATCTGGTAAGGGCTCTCTGGGTGTCAGGGAACAGATTTGGCAGGGAGGCCAGGTCACTAGTTGCGTTGAGGCCCAGCATCACAGTACAGGGGCAGGAGAACGTCACGGAGGAAGTCCTGGCTCCCCCAGTGCGTCTGTGCAGGTGAACTGGGCTCTGAACAAGTTATCAGCCTGACATCCTGGCTCCAGGAAATGCGGAGTGGGAGACAGGTTAAACGACAAAATCCAGAATCAACAGACATATTCAGAAGGTGGCATGAAACACAGGACATTTGGCCTAGTCTCTTCACCAAGCCAGTCACTGAGAATACTGTAGGTTGTTTCAGTTTGGGTTTTTTGTTTGTTTGTTTGTTTGTTTGTTTTTGAGACAGGGTCTTACTTTGCAGTGCAGTCTGATCTTGAACTCACTGTGTGACCCAGACTGGCCTCCAACTCATCGCACTCCTCCTGCCTCAGCCTCCCTGTGGTGGGATCACAGGCATGTGCAACACCTGGGGAGAAGCGTTTCTTTGTGGAGGGGGCCATCCTTTGTGTTGTAGTGCATTCAGTACCACCTCCTGCCCCCACCTGCTAGATGCCAGTAGCAACAGCCACCACCCCTGCTGTGACAACAGCTTGGAGGTAAAAATTGCCCCAGTCAGGAACCACTATCAAAGGACAGGGAAACAACCTCTAGAACCTTAGGTCCCCAGCCTATCTAACAGTGAAGACAAGAAGCATCTCCCTTGTTACATTTATTGATTTATATTTTGAAACAGGTCTTGGTAAGTTATGCAGGCTGGATTCCATCCACAGCACTGCAAAAGAAACAACAAAAACTTGCACATGATGTGGTGGCACACACCTGTAATCCCAGCACTCGGGAGGCTGAGGCAGGAGGATCGTTGTGAGTTCGAGGCCAGCCTGGGGTACAAAGTGAGCTCAAGGCCAGCCTGAACCCAGGACCTGAGCTAATACTGAGGAGCACTGAGCAGCTTGTTAGGTGTGAGACGGGGTGCTGTGACCGTGGAGAACACCCTTCTATTTCAGGGCTGTGCTCTCCAGTAGCTGGGAGGGGAGCTTGTGTCAATAAAGCAGAAATGAGATGCTGTGTGTGTGTAAGTCACCTAACAGAAATAAGATGTGTACTGGTCCTCAGTAAATGATAGGACCATTATTGATGAAATTCAGAGAAATGGCCAGTTGGGAAGAGATAATTCTAATACATTTTATAATCAGATGGCAGATGTCCTTCATATGTAAAAAGCTCCTAAAAATCAACAACACAGTTCCTTAAGAAAGCCAAAGAAGCTGGGTGTGGTGGCACATGCCTGTAACCCAGCACTCAGGAGGCTGAGGCAGGAGGATTGTTTTGAGTTCAGAGCTGTGTGCACCTGTTGTGTGGCATGGGAACGGCAAATTTTCTCTGTTCTAAAATCATGGTTCTCACTGTCATGTTGGCAGATATCCAAAGTTGGATACCTGCGCCATTAGTAAGGCAGTAAGGAAACAGAGCTCTGACCTGTTGCCGGAAGAACTGTGAATTGATCTAACCCTCAGCAGGGAAAAGTTGACAATCTCTGCAATGGTAAATGCAACCAAGTCTTGGAGCCAGAACTCTCACATTGGGGAATTCATCCACAGACACACACACACACACACACACACACACACACACCCTACAGTATGTGTGTAGGGGTATGTAATGATGTTTGCAGGGTTTTTCACTCTGGTGTTAGGCCAAGGAGAAATGGGTGAAAAATGGATAAAAAAGTCTGGCATTGGTGGCCCACACCTTTAACCCCAGTACTCGGGGAGGCTGAAGCAGGAGGGTCACAAGTTTGAGCCCAGCCTGGGCAACTAATCTAGGGAGGCCTACATAATAATCAACCCAATCAATCAATAAACAGGGTTGGGGGTATGGTTCAGTGGTACAGTGTCCCTGGGTTAAACCCCTCATTACTTCACAAATGACTTAATGAATAATATGTTCAAAAGCTGTGGTTGGCCGGCCATGGTGGCACACACATGTAAATCCAGTACTCTGGAGGCTGAGACAGGAGGATCATTGTGAGTTCAAGACCAGCCTGGGCTACAAAGTGAACTCAAGCCCAGCCTGAACTGCAAAGTGAGACCCTGTCTCAAAAAGACCAAAAGAAAAAGCTGTGGATACTCATGATGCTGAAGAGAGGAACTGAGGCTAAAATAGAACAGAATAAAACAAAACACCAAATAACCTAACCTAACCCTAGTTCCAGAAGTCTTTTTGTTGTTGTTTTTTGAGATAGGGTCTCTACTGCCGCTCAGGCTGCCCTTGAATTCACTAGGTAACCAAGGCTGGCCTCAAACTTGCAGTAATAATCCTGCCTCAGCCTCCCCCCGCGCTGGGATTATAGGTGGGTACCACTATGCCTGGTGTTTTGTTTTTGCAGTACTGAGGTGTGAACCCAGGACCTTTGCACTGAGCTATATCCTCAGCCCTTTTCAAAGTTAATTAATTAATTTTTAAATTTGGGGAGGTCTTGCTAAGTAGCTAAACTGTCCAGGCTGGGCTCAGACCCGTGATCCTCCTGCCTCAGCTTCCCAGGGTGCTGGGATTTACTGATGTGCTCCACCACACCCAGCTCCCAGAAGTCTCTTATGTCCCTCACATAAAATCAGACATTGAGGTCTGACCTAGCATGGATGGAATCCTGTGTGACTGCGGGTGGTATCCAGCGCCTCTCTGATCACATCAGGAAGAGGGCGGAAACAGGTGCTTCACAGGACCGTGGGGAATTCGGTGAAGTTATGGGAAGTGCTCAGCACCCTGCCCAGCAGCCAGGAGGTGTCTGTGGGTTCCACAGTGACCTACACAGAGTCCTGCCCGCTCCTAAATCCTGAATCTGCGAATGTGATCTTGTTAGGGCAAAGAGTCTGCAGGTGTATTAAGGACGTAACATCAGATCACTCCGGATTATCCAGGGACCGTAAATCCAGTGACAAGTGTCTATAAAAGGCAGAGGGAGGCTGGGGTCGGGCATGGCAGTGTCCACCTGTAAATCCCAGCCCTTGGAGAGTGAAGCAGGAAGATCACCATGAGTTTGAGACCAGCCTAGGCTACATCGTGAGTTCAAGGCCAACTTGCTCAAAAAATAAACAGAAATGTATGAGGCTGCTGCCTCAGCCTCCCGAGTGCTGGGATTACAGGCGGGCGCCACCACGCCCCGCAAGGTTAGGTTATTTGGAGTCTTTGCCTAGCACGTGCGAGGCCCTGGGTTCCATCCTCAGCACTAAAAAAAAGGAAAGACTCCAGGTTCTGGGCCATAGATAAGGCAGGCACAGACATCCGCGTTTCCTCTTCGCAGTCCCCAGGCCCAGCGTCGGGAGCACAGAGAAAAGGGCAGAAGGCCGCCCCCGCCCCCGGAAGAGTCACGGAGAAGAGGCAGAGGTGAGGGCGCATTATTCATCAGCCCTTTAGAAATGGCACGGTCAGCCGCGCCCCCGCCTGCGGCCCGGGAGCATGCGCGGGAGGAAAGGCCAAAGGGGCAGCAGATTCCGCCCCCCGCCAAGGGAGAAGGACCCTCAGAAGCGGCACTGGCTGCCTGCCCCGCCAGCCGATGCACTCAGACCATCTTCCTCGTTAAAGACCAGGAAACTAAGGCTGAGCTTGAACAGTGGGGCGGGAGCAGAGCTGGGCTCCTAACCTCCGGCTGCCCTGCATCAGAACTCCTCCTGTTTTGGGGTTTTGAATTGAGGTGAAATTTACATCACATGAAAAGAACATTTTTTGGTAGTGGTGGTGATCAGTCTGTCTGTCTGTCTGGGGTGCCCGCCCTGCTGCTCGGCTGCACTCCCAGCCTTGAAGCCACTGCTGTTCACGACACCCTTCAAGGGACACCTCTGATGGGTCCCAAACTCTGTCATCACCAATTCTAGGGCCCTTCGCAACCTCACCCCAGGCCCTCTTCCCAGCCCTGGAAAGCTCGAGTCCTCTTCCTGTCCTTGTCTCTCGAAGATCTTCCTGTTCTGGACGGTTCGTCTTTAAAATGGGATCACACAGCATGCGGCCTGTGGGGTCTGATTTCTCTTCCTCAGTAGCATGGGGCTTTTTTGGTTTTGTTTGTTGGGATCCTGAGGCAGGAAGATCACAAGTTCGGGGGCAGCCCAAGCTACACAGTGAGAGTCTGTATCAAAATAAAATAAAAAATAAACAAATAGGGGAGGGTAGGTAGCCCAGTGCTGCTTGAGTTCAATCCCGCAGTACCACAGGGGGAAAAAAGTGAAAAATCAAAGGTGCTAGGTTTGGGTGTGGTTGGTGCATGTCCATCATCCCAGCACTAGGCTGAGGCAGGAGGATCGCTGAGTTAGAGACCAGCCTGGTGAGATCCTGCCTCAAAAAACAAAATAAGATGGTAAATTTAAGTTTTGTGTATTTTCCACTAGACATTTGGACATCAGTGGGAGCCAGTGATCTGCCTTCCAGACCATTCTGAGGCTCAAACTTGAGAACATTGGTGTAGGTTGTTGGAGGGATTAGGAACAGGACACAGACATGAAATACCACCTCGCGGCCTGTCCCCACAGTCTGTCGGGGAAGCATTCCCTGTCCGTTGGTTGATTATTTTTGTGGTGCTGGAGACGGCACGTTAGGTTATGGGGGGCGGTGTCCAGTCCTGCAGGACCTGGCTGAGTCCTGTCCCGACGCTTGCTGGCTCACATCCCACCGTCAAGATGACAGGGAGCCACGCGGCGTCAGCCTGGCCCTAGCAAAGGTTATCGCTGGCTGGAGATGGAAAGGTCGAGCCTGCGCGGGGAGATAACGAGGTCGCCCGCTCCCTCCGGCGCATAAATGGGCCGCTCTGGCGAGGTGCTGCGCCCCTTCGTCCCCGTCTGCGTGCGCAATGGCCCGGCGCGCCCTGCTGCTGCTGCTCCTGCTGCTGGCGGTGTGGACACGGCCTGGCCGGCGGGTTCCTGGAGCCGAGGCCCGGGCCGCGCCTTACGGGGTGAAACTGTGCGGCCGCGAGTTCATCCGCGCCGTCATCTTTACCTGCGGAGGCTCGCGGTGGAGACGCACAGACGCCCTGGAGCTCCAGGCCGCCGGTGAGCGCGGGCGGGAGGGCGCGGGACGGAGGGGGAGCATTCACCCGTCCATCCAACCTTCCACTCTTCCATCCGTCCGCGCTTCCATCTGTCCATCCAGTTCCGGGTTCCCGGGCCCAGCCTGCGCCGGTGAGGCCATCGTGGAGAGGACGCTGAGGTGGCTTCCGAGACGCTGGGCTGGGAGGGCGTGGACTTTGCTACTTAGAGGTGACCCTGCTCAGCACCTGGCTTCCCGCGCTGGGCCGCCCCGTTTTGGAATGGGGGACACTGTACCTTGCAGGGTTAATAAGTGGTTAGGTTGGAACAGGTAAGGAAGGGCACAGTGTCTGCGGGACAGAGGCTCAGGGTGGGCTCCAGCAGGAAGGGCCTGGCAAAGGGACAGACCTTGGTGAGGATGAGGGTGAGGATGAGTGGGCCATGATGGATAGATGACTGGACAGACGAATAGATGAGTGGGTGGAGGGATGGCCATGCGCGCAAAGCCAGAATATGCATTGACTGAGGTCAGATAATAGCCCCACAGCCAGACACGGTGGTGCACGTCTGCCATCCCCGCACTCAAGAGGCTGAAGCAGGACGATTATGGAGAATTCGAGGCCAGCCTGGACTACAGTTCAAGTCCAGCCTGAACTACAGAATGAGACCCTGTTTCCAAACAAGGAGCCCAACCACTTAATAGCTGTGTGTCCTTACACAAGTTCTCCAAAGAATCACCCCTCTGTGATCTCTGGAAGGTGGGAATGACAGTAACGGCACCCACCTGACATGGCTGTCAGTGTGAGGAATAAAGGAATTAACCCCCCAAAACAGTTTAAACAGTGTCTGGCACCTGGTAAGAGCTCATCACATGATTGGTGATTGATTAATAAATTTTATGTTTGCTTGTCATATCCCTGAGCTTGTTACAGGTTTTTAAATTGGTATTCAGCCCTTACAGGATTCAGTGAAATAGGAGTTACTATTGTCCCCACTTAGAAGAAAACTGAGGCTCAAGTCTACTTACTCACAGTTACAGAGAGGCTAGTGCCTAAATACATGCTTTCGATTATGGGGTCCTCAATAAATAAAGAGTAGGGGAAGTAAGTGAAAGGAAAGTCAAGCTTAGCAAGGTTAAGTAACCTGCCTGTCAAAACTGGTGGCAGGGGCTGGGGATTTAGCTCAGCGGCACAGCGCCTGCCTGGCAAGCGCAAGGTCGTGAGTTCAGTTCCCGGTTCCGGAAAAAAACCTAAACCAAAAAAAAAGAACAAAAAAAAACTGGTGGCAGAAAAAACAAAAAGCTTGGTGGTGGAGCCAGCATTTGACGAGATCGAGCACGTTCAGGGTGGTATGGCTGTAGACTGCAGCCAGTATTCGAGCGTGGGTCTGGGTGGAATTGTGACCTTGAATTACAAAGCTGGCTGAGTGGGTCAGCCAGAGGCCGCTCTGCTGGGGGCGGCAGCAGCCGGCCGGAGCCCTCACTCTCCTTTGCAGCGGATGCCTTCGAGGATGCAGACGGCAACGCAGACAGCCTGGCAGGAGAGCTGGATGACGCTGTGGGCTCCAGCGAGTGGCTGGCCCTGGCCAAGTCCCCCCAGGTCTTCTACGGTGGCCGACCCAGCTGGCAGGGCGCCCCTGGGGCTCTGCGTGGCAGCCGGGACGTCCTGGCCGGACTCTCCAGCACCTGCTGCAAGTGGGGGTGCAGCAAGAGTGAGATCAGCAGCCTCTGCTAGGCCGGGCGGGGCAGCCAGCGACAGCGGCACCGATGTCTCAGTCCTGCCACCCTCAGCCCCTGATCCCAGCCTGTCTTTCCAGTTCCCACATTCGCGGATCTGCAGGACCCAGAGGCACGGGCTGTGGCCCGGTCACCCCACCGGCAGCCCTGAGCCTGCAGGGACTGTCCTCTGCGTCTGGCCTCACAGTCCCCTGTTACTCCTTCGTCCCCCCTATACCCAAAGCGGCCACACTGGGCCCCTGTCCCCAGCCGCAGTGCAAACCAGCTGCTCCCTCTTCTCTGGCGCCAGCCCCTCTCCTTTCCCCGCGGCCCAGCCCCAAGCTGCCCTGGGGACAGCGAGACGGTGGTGGGGTCCCGGATACCCCGGATGTCATGGGCCGGGAGGGGGCGCTGTGGGCACAGGCACCTCCCCAGCCCGGATAATAAAAGTTCCAAAGACTCAGCGAGTGTGTGTCACTGGTGGGGCGGGACAGGTTTTGGGGAGATTGGCGTCGCCCCCACACACACACTCGGGGACTTTCCGCTGAGGACCGGCGGGGACGCGCGGGGGCGGCGGCGAGGGTGGCCGGCTTCCCGTCTCCGCCGGGCTGCGCCGCACCCGGGAGCCATGCGGGGCGCACAAGCCGCCCCCCTCCGGCTGCTGTTGCTGGTAGGGGCGCTGCTCCCCACGACTCGCGCCCAGGGTGAGTGGGGCGCAGGCCGGGGCCAGGGTCCCGGGGTCGCTGTCTGCCCAGGGATGCGGGATGAATGGGCGCGGCTGGGGCGCGCGGTGGGGGGGCGGTAGGCGCCCAGGGTGCTGTGTGATGGGGGTGGGGTGGGAGCCCTCGGGTGACAACAGGATGTGGCTGGGAGTGGGGCAGGGGAGAGGGTCCGCCCAGCACTGAGTGGGGATGCGCGGCACCCCATTCCTGCGCGCGCTCTGCCAGCGACCCCAGAGCCCCATGGCTGCCATGGTGAGAAGTTGCTCCCAAGCCCTGTGAAGTGGGGCTGGGGGCGTCGTGGGGGCGGAGCTGTCGGGGTGCACCCTGCATCCAAACAACAAAGGAAGACAAAAGTTGAGAACTCGGGTGGTTGGTGCGAGAGTGGGCACTTGACCACCTGTGCCCTCTCCAGCCAGCGCGGGACCGCTGCAGTGCTTCAGAGTCGGACCCGAGGGGAACCTGAACTGCTCCTGGGAGCGTGTGGGGGACCTGGGAGGCCCCATCGTGCTGCACCTCCAAAGCCAGAAGTAGTGAGTATACTGGCGCTGTTTGAGGAAACTGCGACAGCAGAGGTGGCCACTGTGGGACTCAGGAAGGGGCTCTGCTCCCCTCCCTGACCTCCCCCAGTTCTCAAGCCTGTCCGTGCTGTGCGGCCCTGGGCTGGTCACTCTCCCTCTCTGAGCCTGCTTTCTTGCCCTCCTCAGTGGCAAGGCGAGTGGAGCCCCCCTGCCCAGCTCTGGTTCTGCCCATGCACGGTGCAGGGGAGCAGCCGAAGAGCATGCTGGGTAGACAGATGGCTTCCGCCTCGCTGTGTGACCTCAGCAAGAACGCTTACCCCCTCTGAGCGTATGAAAAGATGGGTCTGACACTCAGGACTGCAGCGCTGAGAGAGGACCGCAAAGCCTGGCTCTCCTAGGGCCGAAGCCCAGCACTGTGGTCCTGACAGTGAATCTCACAGGGAAATCAGAACTTCACCTGGGCAGAGAGAGGGTCCTGGGGTCCTGTTTCCCCTCCATCCTTCCTCCCCGCCCTCCGTCCCTCCCTTCCTTTCTTCCTTCCTTCCTTCCTGGCACTGAAGATTGAACCCAGCACATGCTCGACAAGAACCTTACCCCTGACTACAACTCCAGCCCTTCTTCTATTTCATTTTGAGGCAGAGTCTTGCTATCTTTTCCCCAGGCTGGGCTAGAACTTGTGATTCTCCTGCCTCAGCCTCTCAAAATTGCTGGGATTACAGGCATATGCCATTGTGCCTGGCTTTTTTTTTTTTTTTCTTTTTAAATGATGTTAAAATACATATAACATAAACATTGTCATTTTCAGCATTTCTTATTTATTTTTTTTTTTTTTTTGAGATGGGGGTTTCATAATGTAATCCAGGCTGGCCTTGAACTCACTATGTAGCCCTGGCTGGCCTTAAACTCACTATCCTTCTGCCTCAGCCTCCTGAGTACTGGGATTATGCCACCACACCTGGCATTGTTTTGGTTTTCAGATGAGGTCTTGCTATGTTGCTCAGGCTGGCTTTGAACCTGTGGGCTCAAGCGATTCTCCTGCCTCAGCCTCCTGAGTAGCTGTGACTAGAGACGTGTACCACTGTGCTCTCTTGTTTTCAGGTGTGTTGGGGGTCCTTGCCCAGGAAACCCATTGCTGGTTTTATAGGAATTTTGTGTTTGGCTGTCACGGCCACGTACCCTTCCACATTCCTGCCAGCACTGCAGGACAGTCCCAATGTCCCCTCTTCCTCACAAACACTTATTGGTTTTTGTTTTTTGGGTTTTTTGTTTGTTTCCTTGACTAAGCCTTTGTTTTGAGCCTTTACTTTTTATTTTTCAGTTCTGGGGACTGAACCCGGGGCCTTCACAGAGACTGGCATCCCTCGCCCTTTTTTATTTCTTATTTTGAGACAGGGTCTCTTTAAGTTACTAAGTTGCACAGGCTGGACTTGCTCTTGCAATCTTCCTGCCTCAGCCTCCTGCCCCTAGCTCAGCTATGTCACTTATGTCACCTGACATGGCATCCGTCACACCCACTGTGTCTATCCATGCTTCTTCTCTGCCCTGCCCTTGTGGGAGGTGACATCACTTCAGATAGCAGGTCCTTGGTATTTTTGTCAGACTTCTGCCCTAAGCCCCTAGAGCAGGGGCTGGTGCAACACATACTGAGCAGCTGCAGGAACCTGAATGTGCCTCCCATAAAGAAAAGGCAGTGAACATTAAATAACGAGCAAAGTTCACATAACATGCGCAGAAGAGCTGGGTGTGGTGGCGCACGCCTGTCATTGCTGAGGCAGGAGGATCGTGAGTTCAAGCCCAGCCTCGGCCACGTAGCAAGACCCCGTCTCAAAATGAGAAATAAAAAAGGCTGGGGATGGAGCTCAGCGGTAGAACAGCTCTGGGTTCTATCCCTAGAATGGCAAAAAAGCAAACGACTTTTATGACACATGTTGACTATCTCATTCAACTTATTGAATACAGTACTGCAACTGAAGTCACAATGGTTGTTCTGTACCACTGGCCCAAGACAGATAAAAATCTTTTTAAGTTTTTCTCAGTGCTGGGGATGGAATCCAGGGTTCACACATGCTAGGCAAGTGCTCTACTACTGAGCTGTACCCTAGTTCCCAAAATTCAAAAAATATATTTATTTATTGATTAGTTTTGCAATACTTGGCCCAGAAAGAGGTAACAATCTTAAAAAGTTTTTTTTTTTCCAGTGCTGGGGATTGAACCCAGGACCTTCACACTGAGCTACACTCCCAGCCTTTATTATTATTATTATTATTTTTTTTTATTTATTTATTTTTTTTTTATCAGGAGGCAAGGTCTTGCTACATTGCCCAGGCTGGGCTCACACTTGCGATCCTCCTGCCTCAGCCTCCCCCAGCACTGGGGTGATAGCTGTGCACAAGCCTGGTTCCAGAACTGCATATCTGAACTTGCATATCTGCTGCATGCCTATTGCTTGTCACCATCCTCATGCGGAAGCGTACAGTGGAGCGCTCATACCTGGGGATGGGCTGTACCGTGTCCCCAGCACCCTTCGAGCGCGTTCCTTGGCCGCAGATCCCCTCTGAGCCATCCCTTCCAGCAGGCACTGTTAGGGTGCGTGAGGGCTGAGACACAGCGATTAGGAGAGGTTGCTGCCTGCTCCGGTCACACGGCTCTGAAGCAGCAGCTCTGGGCTTTGGGTCCAATGGAGCAGGTCATAGCCCTGGGTCAGTTCCCGGCTGTCACCGCAACTCTCATCCTCAAATGTCCCACAGCCACCGCAACAGAACCCAGCTGGTGCCGGTACCTGCGGGGCAGAGCTGGGAGACCGTTTCTCGGAAGGTGCTCACCTCGGGGGACCAGCTGCTGGTCTGGGGGACACAAGGAGGCCACCCTCTCTGGGCCCCCATCTTCGTGGACCTGGAGACACGAGGTAGGTGGCAGAGGTGGGTGCTCCGTGTGGGATCACGGCCCCCCCTCACTGCATGCTGCCCCCACCTCCAGTGAAGCCCGATGCCCCCTGGCTGTTACCCAGCGTGGACTTCTCAGAGGACGCGCCGCTGGAGGCCACCGTGCAGTGGCAGCCACCCAAATGGCCACCCCTCAAGGCCCTGACCTGTGAGTTCCACTACCAGAGGTGCCCGGAGCAAGGCTGGCTCCCGGTGAGTGTCTGTGGCCCACCCCTCCTGGCAGAGCCTGCAGCCCGTGCACCCACCGAGCAGGCCCCAGCTATAAGCTTTCCATCCCAGCACTCAGGGAGGCTGAGGCAGGAGGCTCACACTGGGTAATTTAACGACTTAGTGAGACACTGTCCTTCCTCACTAAATAATCTATGGTCTTCCATATTCACTCATCCTACAGCCTCAGATTCAGCCATTTCAGGATTGAATCTCTCAGGGGGGAGGTAGGAAGGGCACTGCACATGTATAGGAGATTTTTTTCTTGACGTGATTCCCTAAACAACATGGTGAGACTACTGCACATGGCGTCCTCAAGGTGTTCAGGCTGTGGAGGACATGAGCAGGTTTTGTCACCCCTGTGACACTGATGGAAGGAACTTGGGTACCCAAGGATTTTGGGGTCATGAAACCCTCCTCCCATGGGTACAGAGGGGTGATGGTTTAGGTGCCATGCAGATGCAACCCAAAGGCCAGTTAGCACTTTTGAGAAATTCAGTAAACCACCCCTAACATTTTTTTTTAAGAACAGAAGTATCAGATGGCTTAAGTTAACCTTAAAATAACAATAACAACTAAGAAGAGCAAACACTTAGGAGAATATCTCCTGGATGCCTGATGCTTCTGAAAAAGAAAAGAAAATACATCAAAAGCAGCTAAGCTGGGCACAGTGACTATAGTCCCAGCTACTTGGGAAGCTGAGGCAGGAAGATCATTTAAGCACCAGAGTTCAAGACCAGTTTATGCAGTGTAGCCTCAAAAGAAAAACCAGGTATCCATTTTATAGTTGAGGAAGCTGAATCTCAGAGAAGTTATGAAACTTTCCCAAGGTCACACAGCAAGAACGTGGAAGACAAGTCCTGAACGAGAGGATTCCAGAAAGACTGGGGAACCCATGCAAATTCCATGCACTTTAATGCACAATCAGGAAGTTGCCTATCTTATTTTTGGTGATATGCCCTTGGCTGAGAACATAGTCACATGGTCTCATCTGACTACAAAGGAGGCTGGGAAATGTAGTCTTTATTCTTGGCAGCCATGTTCCCAGCTAGTACTCCAGGGTTATCTTTGTGAAGAAAGATACAGAGAAAAGATAGTGGGGATTGTCAACTGCTACAGCCACAGATTTTGACACAAAATACCGCAATAAAGAGTAGAGTTGTGGAGAACGCTTACCCAGTCTGCCCCTGGCTCTGGCTTGCATTCTCAGCGCCACCACCACCACCTGCCAGGGGAAAAAAAGCAAAATTGTTGTCACTGCGGTTGTTGGTGCCAGAGGAACTCTGCTATACAGATGTGAGAATCTGGCTGCAGCTCCCTGCTCGGTGCCCTTGAGCAAGAACCCACCACCTCCTGCTACACTTAACCACCACTTTCTGTGCCAGCCACGGTACCATTTGAAGCAGGTGCTGCGGATGGAGCTAACATGCCAGGAGAGCGCTCTACCACTGAGCTGCACCCCAGATCCTTTCGTTTTTTAAAATTTTGAGACAGTGTTTTGCTAAATTTGCAGGCTAGGCTGGAACTTGGGGTCCTCCTGCCTCAGCCTTCCAAGTAGATGGGATCACAGGTGTGCACCACCTTGCCCGGCCGGACTTAGCCACTAAGAGCCCTGATGTTCTGTACCCTTGGAGTCCTGGGCCCACCAGGTGACCAGCTCATGCACCCTGGGCTCGGCCCTGCGGCCTGCGTCTCTGTTCCCTCTCCCAGCTGGAGCCGGACCTGAAGACTATGCCGCTGAGCCCGGTGGAGATGCAGGAGCTGGAGCTCACCTCTGCCTACAGCGTGCGGGGCCGCTGCAGGGTGGAGTCGGAAAGAGACCTGTGGGGCGAGTGGAGCCCGGCCCTCTCCTTCCAGACCCCGCCGGCTGGTGAGGCCCCGGCTCGCCCTGCCCCCGCTTCTCCTGGCCTCCTGGCTGCTCATCACCTCCCACCCTCATCTTTCCAGCTCCTAAGGACGTGTGGGTCTCAGGGAACGCGTGCGCGACCCCAGGCAGCCGAGCCGCCCTGCTCGTGTGGAAGGTGAGCTCCGTGCCCAAGTGCCTTTCTCCAGGGCGCCCCCAACAGCAATGATGCGCTCGACGGGACGTAGTCTCTGCTGCCCCCTGCAGGCGGATACAGGATGGCGAGCAGGAGCTCAGGAGGTCCTGTCTGTGAGCGTGAGACCAGGATGAGGGACAACAGGCTCAAGGTCTGGAAGTAAGGCTGCATCAGACGGCTGTGCGAGGTGGCTGAAAAGGGACAGGCACGCCGGCTAGCGCAGGGCTGTAATCCCAGCTATTCGGGAAGCTGAAGCAGGAGGATCTCAAGTTTGAGGCCAGCCTGGCCAATTTAGTGACTTAGGGAGACTGCCTCAAAATATAAAAGGCTGGGGATGTAGCTCAGTGGCGGAGCACTTGCCTAGCATGGGTGAGGTCCTGGCTTCCATCCTCAGCATGGGAGGAAAAAGCAAAAAAGGGTGCAATACTTCTCATTCGTATCTACTGAGGACCTGTTATCTGTCAGGTATCATTAAGCCCTGGATCTCATGGGCATGGTGGCACCAGCTTGTAATCCCCGTACTCTAGGAGGCTGAGCCAGGAGGATCCCCATGAGTTAGAGGCCAGCCTGATCTCCATAGAGAGAGCCTGTCTCAAAAGAGTAAAAAAAAAAAAATTGCTTTTAAGTGTTATTTAATCTTGGTTACTGGATATTTTGTTTTTGTTTTTTTGAGATGGGGTCTGTTGCCAAGACTGGTCTTGAACTCCTGGATTCAAGCAATTCTCCTGGGGCTGGGGATTTAGCTCAGTGGCACAGCACCTGCCGGGCAAGCGCAAGGTCAGAGTTGGATTCCCGGTACTGGAAGGAAAACAAAAACAAAAATCAAGCAATTCTTCTGACCTCAGCCTCCCAAGTGGACAAATACCCTGGGTTTTGGGTATTTGTCACTCTTAAACTTTGTACCCAAAAGAGTGTCTCCCTTGGCTTATTTAGTCCTGGCCCAGAAACCTCATCCAAATTCCGCCTATGCAGTGAGCCCCGCAAAGATTCAGTTTCCATATCTGTAAAATGGAGCCGACTATACTGCTTCTCTGATTGGTTTATCAGGTGACCTCACTGAGACACACAGTAGGTTCCCCCCATACTGAGGATGGAACCCAGGGCCTTCACACTGAGCTCCATCCCTACCCCTTTTTTCTTTTCTATTTTGAGACAGAGTCTTGGTAAGTCACTAAGTTGTCCAGACTGAGCTCATACTTGCAATCCTCCTGCCTCAGCCTCCTGGAGTTCTGGGATGACAGGCATGCAACACAACACCCAGCCCACCGTAGGTCCTGGGTAAATGGGGGACATGAACCCTCTTGCCTTCTTCCCAGGCCCCAGGGCCCTGTGTGCAGGTGAGCTACCAGGTGTCGTTCTGGACTGGAGAGAAGATGCTGATGCAGGAGGGGGTGCCCTGCTGTTCATGGCCTGTCCCTGCCCTGGCACACTGGGCCAGGGTGTCTGCTGAAGGTGGTGTCCCCTGGGAGCCCTCCACCAAACTCTCCTTGGTCTGCTTGGGTAAGAGGCGGGAACCCCCTCTGCTGGGGACAGGGAGTGGGGCGGGCCTCCTGAGTGGCCAGCCAGGGCTCCCCTAGCTGCAGACTCTGTGCCCCAGGACGTGGTGGTCAGCAGCGTGGCTGGGAGCCCTGGGCTGCTGGTGAGCTGGCGACGGGGGACCCAGGAGCCCTGGGAGTACGTGGTGGCCTGGGCCCCGGATGGAAAAGTCCCGGAGGACATCAGCTGGACCCGGCTTCCTCCGGGGAACCTCAGTGCTGTGCTGCCAGGTGAGGCCAGGACACTGGTTCTCACCTCTCTGAATCAACCGTGCGTTGCTGTGACAAAGTCCCCGAGGCTGGCACTTGCGAAGAAGAGAGGCTGACTCGGCTCACAGTCGAATGCTCAAGAGTGTGGTGTGGCACCTACGGGCTCTGGCAGGGCCCCGGGCCACCACCTGGGGCAGCTGTGCATCAAGCAGACTGAGCTGGCGAGTTAATTCTCTGAGACACAGAGGATTCTGGGTGCCCCTCTGCTGCCCCTGGTGGGCTCCCTCAGTACTGCGCCTCAGTTGTCCCTGGTGGAAACGCCTCCTTCCCTCCCTCCTTTCCTTCTTTCCTTCCTCCTTTCCTTCTTTCCTCCCTCCTTTCCTTCTTTCCTTCCTCCTTTCCCTCCTCCATGTTCTCCCTTTCTTTTTCCTTTTGTGGTAACTCAGCGCCTTTGCACTGAGCTACATCCCTAACCCTATTTTCAAAATTTTGAGACAGGATCTCACTAAGTCTCTAAATGCCCAGGCTGGGCTGGAATTTGGGCTCCTCCTGCCTCAGCCTCCCAGAGTGATAGAATTAGAGGTGTGCCCAGGCTGATATTGAACTGCTGGGCCCAAGCAATCCTCCACCCCAGGCCATACTGGGGACTTATTTCTTAACACCGTTTCCTGGCTGCCTCTTCTCTCCTCTTCTCTTCTTTCTTTTCCCTTCCCTTCCCTTCTCTTCTCTCTTCTCCTCCTTTCCTTTCCTTTCTTTTCTATTCTTTTTTCTTCTCTTTTCTCTCTTGGGGTGTTTTTTTGTTTTTGTTTTTTGGTGTCGGGAATCGAACTCAGGACCTTGCTCTTGCCAGGCAGGCGCTTGTGCTGCTGAGCTAAATCCCCGGCCCTTTTGGGGTGTTTTGAGACAGGGTCTCATTGTGTAGTCCAGGCTGGCCTCAAACTCGCATTGATCCTTCTGCCTCAGCCTCCCAGGTGCTGGGATTACAGTGTGGCCCCCATGCCTGGCCAGGCTGCCTTTCTTACACCATCTCACTTTTGCCCGGCTCGTGTCTCCTCGGGTCACTTCCCAGATAAATCCCTGACACCCCGTCTTCAGCCCAAGGCGTCCGGAGGACCGGGGAAGGTGGTGCCCACTGGGAAATGAGTGGGGGGAGGGGCGACCCTAAACGGCCTCCTTTCTCCACCACTCAGGCAACTTCACCAGAGGGGTCCCCTACCGCATCACGGTGACGGCGGTCTTTCCTGAGGGCCTGGCCCCCGCTCCCTCAGCCTGGGGGTTTGGAGAGGAGCTAGGTGAGAGCAGGGCTGGAGGGTGTGGAAGCTTCCGGAACCGGGAAGATCGTGACCCGCTGGTTTCCCCACAGCACCCGTAGCAGGTCCAGCACTTTGGCGGCTCCCAGATGACCCCCTGGGGACCCCTGCCGTGGCCTGGGGAGAGGTCTCAAGGCAAGAGCTCCGGGGCCACCTCACCCACTATACCTGGTGTGCACAGAGCGCCTCCAGACCCTCGGTCTGTGTGAACGGTGAGCCTCCCCTTCCTCAGCCCCTAAGACCCAGGCCAGCCCTGCCCTGACCCGCGGGGCCCTCTGGCTGCCTCTCTGCCCTGGAGATGCAGGCGGCATCCACTCCCTGGAGAACGGTGACTCTCTGGCTATCGATATAATGGCCTCACTGGGCCATTAAAACCGAAGGCTCCGATCTATCGTATTGATGTTGAAAGACACCTGTCATATTTCATTTCACAAACGAGATGGAAAAGGTTCCAAAGCTCTGGAGACAGCTGCTTTTTTAGAATAAAACAAGCACAGGATTGAGCAAAGCCAAGCCACAAATATGGAAATAAATTCCCTTCAATGCCAATAAGGATTATAGGATTATAATGTGATTTTCATGTTTATTTGTACTTGGTCTGTGATACAGAGGATTGAAGGGCCTTTGCACTGAGCTGCATATCCTTAACCTTTTTTTTTTTTTTTTTTTTTTCAGATAGTGAGACAAGTTCTCACTAAGTGCCCAGGATGGGCTCACACTTGTGATGCTCCTGCCTCAGCCTCCCAGAGTGCTGGGAGCACAGGTGTACAGCACTATGCCTGACACTCATGTATCACTTTTGAATATTCACTACGGTGTGTGTTAGGCTCTGAGCAGGTGCTGGGAATAAGGCCTGTATAGAGCTCTTTTTTTTTTTTTTTTTTTTGAGTTGAGGTCTCACTATGTGGTCAGTGTGGTCTTGAGCTCCTGGGATCAAGCAACCCTCCTGTCTCAGTTTCTACAGTAGCTGGGGCTACAGGTGTCTGCCACTATAGTCTAGATGATTTTTCCTTTCTTATTTTCATCATCATCATCATCATTATTATTATTATTTGGTGTGTGTGGTGCTGGGGATGAGACCCAGGGTCTCCCACATGTAAGCAAATACTACTGCTGAGCTACACCCCAGCCTCAGAAGTGACCCACATACACAGACAAACCGAGTAATGCGAAGAAGTATTTCAGGTGATGATCGGTGCTGAGTGGAAAATGCAGCAGGGCGGGTAGGTGACACCAGGGTACAGTTTTCAATGGAGGGGCACTCAGGGAAGGCCTCACTTTGGAGGGAGCTTTTTGTTGTTGTTGTTTGTCTTTTTGAGACAGGGTCTTGCTACGCAGTTCAGACTGGCCTTGAGCTCACTTTGTAGCCCAGGTTGGTCTCGAACTCGCAATGATCCACCTGCCTCAGCCTCCCAAGTGCTGGGATTACGGGCGTGCGCCACCAGGCCCGGCTTGGAGGGAGCATTTTCACGAAGACCTCAGGGACCTGTGTGGGTGCCTGGGGGTAGATGAGACCTGTGCGTGCAAAGGCCATGTGGTAGGGAGCGCATCCCCTCCCTTGTGCCTATTATGTTCTTCAGTGAGCAGCAGCACCCGGACTGTCACTCTGCCCAACCTCCCCGGGGGACCCTGCAAGCTGTGGGTCATGGCGGCCACCATCGCGGGACAGGGCCCACCGGGTCCCAGCCTCCAGTTCCACCTTCCAGGTAGGGCCTAGGGTGGGACTGCCTGCTCCACTTGGGGGATGGGGTGTCTGGAGCCCTCACCTGGGCTTCGGAGCAGGGACAACCTTATGATCTGAGGGGGTGGATCGTATGTGGGGGGTTCTGGGGATTGAACCCTGGTCCGCGTGCATACTGTGCACATCTCTACCACGGTGCTGCACCCCTAGCTCTCAGTACCTAGTTCTCGCTGACCTTGAGCTCACGGTGTAGCCCAGGCTGGCTTCGAACTCCTGGCAATTGTCCTGCCTCAGCCTCCGGCATGCTGGGATAACAGGCGTATGCCACCACACCCCACTTCTAGGGGACTTTTGATTCTGCTAATGCTGCTGCGTCTTACCAGGCCCTGTGTTTCCCATGGTTTCACCCTGCCCCTTATTTTGACCTATCAACACTGCCCTACTTAGAAGACCCGCCCCTTTTTGAGCCCTAACCCCGCCCATGTAAGCCCCACCCACACCTTCGTCCAAGCCCCTCCCATTCACAAGGCTTGCAGTCTTCTCAGGCTTCCCGGCGACTAACAGATTTCTGCTCCCCTGCCTGCAGGGAGTAGTTTGAGCTGGCAAGTCCTGCCCCGCGTTCTGTGCCTGTGTGCCTTGCTCGTGCTGGGCGGCTGTCTGGGCCTGGCCACCCCCGGAAGGTGAGGTGAGGGAACAGGTACGGCCGTCTAGTTGTGCTGGGGGCAGCTGCTGGACATTACCTGAACTTTGAGCGGGGTGGAACGGAGCCTTGGCGCTCTGCAGAGTTTGCGCACTCTGGAGCTTGGACAGTGTCCGGAGCCCAGGCTCCCTTCCCTGATCTTACCTATCCCCCAGGTGCCTCCACCTGAAACATAAGGTGTTGCCCCGTTGGGTCTTGGAGAAGGTTCCTGATCCTGCCAACAGCCATTCTGGCCGCCCCCACATCGAGGTGAGCAAAAAGGCCGGCCCGGTGCAATGGTGGTGTATGCCTGGAATCCCAGCTACTTTGGAGGCTGAGGCAGGAAGCTTGCAAGTACTAGGCCAGGAAAGGCAACTTAGACCCTGTCTCAAAATAAAAAATAAAAACAGCTGGGGATGTAGCTTAATAGTAAAGCACCCATAGGTGCTCGTGGGAGCTCTCTGGGGGATTAGGGGAACCAGAGACACTGAGGGGGTAGGGAAGGGAGGAGATTTTAGCCGCATCTCTTCCCTGCAGGTCTCACAGCCTCAGCCTCCACCCCTTGGGGATGTGCCCATCCTGGAGGTAGAAGAGATGGAGCCACTGCCACCTAGGGAGCTGCCCCAGGCCTCCACCCCACTTTACTCTGGGTATGAGAAACACTTCATGCCCACACCAGAGGAGCTGGGCCTTCTGCGGCCGTCAAGTCCCCAAATGCTGGCCTGAGCCTGGCCCGGCCTGGAGCTACAGAACAGGCTCCCGGAACTTATGCAGGCTGCGCCCTCCCCTGGGTGAGCCGGCCTGACAGACAAGACACTGAGACCAAGAGAGGCTGAGCCGCCTGCCTGAGGACACCCCGTCAGGAAGAGCAGGGGCTGGGAGACCCCCCAGAGAGGGGCCCAGCCTCGGTAGGGAGTGCATGGGTGGATGAGTGAGTGTGCCAACGAGAAGGTGTGATACCGAGAGGGGAGCTGTCCTCTCACAGTCTGTCCTTCTGCCGGAACAGAACTGCATCTGGGCCCAGGCCCGCCCTCCCTTGCAGCTGGATCAGCCGTGGGCTGAGTTCTCACGGTGGAATGTGGGTGGAAGCGACATGGGCCAATGTCAGGAGCAGGTGGGCCTCAAACACTCCTGCACCACACTCTTCCTGTGAGCTGGAACATGCACGTGCTCGTGACCCAGCTTTGACATACGCAAGGGGACAAGCAGTGCAAAGCAGCTTGATCCCTAAGTGACTGTAGGCCAGTGCCTGAATCCCCGAGTGACAGCATGGTCAATCTGAGTCCCTGAATGACCACATCCATCAGAGACACAGCTTGTCTTTTTGTACTGTAGCTTGAGATGATTTTGTTACAGCAACCAAACCTGTACTCTCACTGACAGATAATTTTTTATTCCAGCAGAATTAGGTCCTCCAGTTTCCCACCAGCTCAGGAGGCGATTCTGTGCCAACAACACACACATTCCGGGCGTCTGAGTGCTTAAACATTTTATTTTCAAGTATAAAGGCTTTGTCACAGAAGGGAGGCAGGGTCACAGGCATGGGCAGGGGAAGCCCAGGCACAGGGGGGTGGGCCGGCTGGCTGCCAGGTGCCGCGGCCAGTCTATGGTGCCCTGTCTGTGCCCGCAACCCTCTGTGGATGCCAGGAGGCGAGGTAGCTGTGAGAGGCACTGGGTGGGGCGCGGGCGCAGGCTCACATCACCGCACAGCACTGGCACGTCTTCTGCTTGGGGCCGCTCGCCTCCTCCCCCTCGGCCTGGGGGGTGGGTTCAGGCTGCCGAGTGGGGGCATAGGTGGGCGCAGGGTGGGCACTGGGGTTGGTGCTGGGTCCCTCTCGCGGAAGCAGTGGCTGGCTCTCGGTGGGCTGGTCTGGGGCCGGGGTCTCTGCCAGGAGTGGGGTGGCATTCCCAGGGGGACCCTGTGCCTCTGCCGGAGGTTTGGGTGCCCCCTCATCCTCTTTCGGGGATCCTTCTTGCTTTTCTGGGGGCTGCAGCTCTGGTGCCAGCTCCTGTGCGACCCCGAGGGGCGCCCCCGCCTCGCTCCCCGCCTCGGCCTGGGATTCCCGCCCCTCCCCCGCTTCCCTCTGCTCTGTCCCATCCTGCAAGTCCCGGGCCCCAGGCGTCCCTTCTGCCCCCAACGGCTCCTCCCCTCCTGTCCCCTCTGTCCCCACAGGCTCCTCCCCTGCTGTCCCCTCTGTCCCCACAGGCTCCTCCCCTGCTGTCCCCTCTGCCCCCAACAGCTCCTCCCCTGCTGTCCCCTCTGCCCCCAACAGCTCCTCCCCTGCTGTCCCCTGGGTCACCACGAGCTCTCCAGCGGCCCCTGGCTCTTCCTTACCTCCTTCCTCCTCTGTGCCCGCGGGCTCCTCACCTTCCGTCCCCGCCGCCCCTCGCTCTCCCGCCCCGCCGCCCCCAGCTCCCAGGGACCCCTCCTCGCCTGCTGTCCCCGGTCCCGCTGGCGCCTCCGCGTTCTCCGCCGCCCTCCCCTCGCCTCTCTCCTCCGCTCCCAGGGGCGCCTCCGTTTCTGCTCCTGGCGTCTCCCCGCTGCGTCCCCTCTCTGCCCTCAGAGGTCCCTCCACACCCTCCCTCTGCACTCCCATGTCCCGTTCAGCCCCCTCTTCCTGCTCCCCTGCTGTCCCCTCCAGCTCTGCGCGCGCCGCACTTCCTTCCTGCTGCACCCGCTCCAGCGGCCCCTCCGCCCCGTCCCGCTCTGTCCCCTGCCTCTCCTCAGTCCCCGTCTCCCCCGCTCCCACAGGCCCCTCCGCCCTCCTCTTCTCCGCGGCCCATGGGTCCCCACCTCCCCCTCCATCCGTCCCTGGTGGTCCCTTGACGGCCTCCCTGCCGGCCGCCAGGGGCCCCTCTAAGCCCTCCATCAGCAGCTCCTCCCAGTCCTCACTGACCGTCACCCTCTCCACCCAGATGAAGGAGCCTTCGTCCCCCTCAGGTCTCCCCTGCCTGTCAGGCTCCCTGTCTGTGGACCCCACGCCCCCCAGGCGCTCCCGGAGCCCCCGCTCACCACTGCCCACCTCCTCCGGGGCCTCTGGGTCACTGCCCCCCAGCCCCTCCCAGACCACCTCCACCACGCCCCTGTCCTCCCTCACCCAGGCTGGGAGCTCGGGGCCGCCGGGCCCCTGTCTGTCCGCTATGGCCTCCAGCACCACCTGCTCCACCCTGGCCTCCAGCTCCAGGCCAGTGGCACCCATGGCACAGTCCTGGGGCCCCCGGAGCCCCTCCCACACCACCTCTACCACGTCCCCCCCTTTGGCCTTCACCACGCCCCCCTCTGCTGTGGTCCCTGTCCCCAGGCTCTGCCCCTGCTCGGGAGGTGGGCTGGGACCCGAGCAGGGGCCATTGGCTTCCTGGGGGGACCCCTCTGCTCCAGAGACCTGCGTCGGGGCCCCCTCAACGGGCTCAGAGTGCAACTCTGGGGACAAACCCATGGGCCCCACCGGCAGGGAAGCTCTTCTGTCCACATCCACCCGGCCTGGTAGAATCAGAGGAGAGGAAAGAAGGGGAAGGAGGTGAGGATGACCAGCAGGTCGTGCAATCTGGGGGTGACCTGAGGCTCACACCTAAGGCCTCCAACACCCACCTGCAGGACCTGCCTCCATGATGGGCTGGGAAAGAGGACGGTGGCCCTGTGGAAATGGCAGATACAAGGTCAGGCAGGCCTCACCCCAAGCCTCCCTGCATACCAGGGCCCCACCCCTGCTCAAACACCTTCGATGGCTCCCTATTACCTTTAGGACCAAACCCCATTTTGCAGGCAGCCTTCCACATTTGTCCTGTCTCCACCTGGTCCAGATGCCACACACAGAGGGTGCTTCAGCCATACTCCATGGGTGTAGCTAATCCCTCTGTGCTAGGGGCCCACTCAGCCAGCCGCTAAAGCCACCTTACACCAGGGATCTGTAGTCACTCATTCTCATTCATAATGTGTGCAGGGCCTGGGATGTAGCTCAGCGGCACAAGTGTCTGCCTGGCAAGCGCAAGGTCCTGAGTTTGATCCCCAGTACCAAAATAAAATAGTGTGTGTGTGTGTGTGTGTGTGTGTGCGTGTGTGTGTGTGTGTGCTCACAGGCACAGGCAGGCACATGAGTGATGGTGATGGAACCCAGGGCCTGGTGCATGCTAGGCAAAGGAGCTCTGAAGCCCTTTGCTATTGGGACTTACATTCCACAGGGGAAAGGCGGGAAATAGAGGTGAGGAGGACTGTGGAGAAGAAGAGGTCGGGGGATGGGAAGCAGGGGCTGGAGGACAGGTTGCGTCCCGTGGGGAGCAGATGTGGAAGGGCTTCTTACACAAGAGGTCAGAGCAAGCCCTCAGAGGTGACAAAAGCCAGCCAGCAGTCCCAGGTGGGGACAGCATTCCAGGCTGAGGAGACAGCAAGTGCAAAGGTCCTGGGGCCATGAGGGGGCTAGGAAAGCTCAAGGAACAGGGGCAAATGAGAGAAAGATGGACTCAGAGTGGGGAGCTGGGGTGAGAAGCAGGCTGCCTAGGCCAAGCCCAGGATGCCCTCAGCCCTCCAACCCCGGCCTCTTTCTAGCTTCCCTGCCTGTGCCTTCCTCCCCTCCGTGGGGTTCCCTCCACCCACCCCATTATTGTCTGATGACCCCACCCTCACCCTGGACTCAGTTTAGATGTCACTACCAGCAAGCAGTTATTTATCTGGTACTGAGGGTTGAACCCAGGGGCTTTACACTGAGCTCCATCCCCAGGCCTTTTGTATTATATTTTTGGGAAAGGTCTTGCTAAGCTGCCCAGGCTGAGCTCTCATTTATGATCCTCCTGCCTCAGCCTCCCAGAGTGCTGGGATGACAGGCAGCTCACCCAGCCAGCCCACCCTGAACTCCCAGCCCTTCTCAGACTCTGCCCCACTTCCTTACCAGGCCAGGGCCTCAGCTACATCCCACACATCTCTAGCATTTCCATGTTTTCTTTCCTCCTTCTTTTTTTTTTTTTGAGACAGGGTCTCACTATGTAGTTCAGGCTGTCTTTGAATTTACTATGTAGCCCAGGATGGCCTCAAAAAGGTAGTGATCCTCCTGCCTCAGCCTCCAGCACGCTGGGATTACAAGTGTACGCTCTCACACCAGGCTTGCTCATATTAACAAACTTCCCCCCTCCCAGGTACTGCTGCTCAGCTACCACTGCTCTGATCCTTGAAGTAGCAATTCCAAGTGTGCTGTTGTTATGTCCACTTAAAGACAGAGAAACTGAGGCTGAAGCAGGGGGATGAACTTGCCCAAGATCACAGAGAGAAGAGTGCGCACCGACCCTGGGCTCTAGCGTAGTCCTTAGCGTTGCTGGCCACGCCCCTCCCCACGCCCCTCACCTGTCTGCGCCAGGAGGGCCTGCCCGGGGGCCGGTGCTGGGCACCTGTGGACGCGCTTTGCAGCAGCTGGAGCTGAGACTGAAGTCTGCGGAAGAGAAGGGGCTACTGGCAGGGGATCCTAGGCTCAACCTCCCCCCACCAACCAGCCAGGAACCGCGCTCACGTGAACAAGCTGTCCTCCAGGTGTCGGATGCGAGCCTGGGCCTGGCCCTCGGGCGACTGGGGGTCCTGGGCGGCAGGGTCCGGGGGCTGATCTTGCCCCTCAGCGGCGCCGTCCATCAGCCAGCGCTCACGCAGGGATTTCCTCTAGGCAGGAAGGGAGCCCGCGCTGGGCACAGCCCCGCCCCGAGAGGGTGTCCCGGGCCCCACGGACACCACGGGGAGCCACGGCGGGCCAGGGTGCGCGCCACGGGGCCTCCCAGCGCTGCCAGGTTCCTCGCCCACTCTCAAGCGCCCACGCCCCCGGCTGGGCAGACGCCCCTGTGCCCCAACCTTCCAAAGGGACGGGTAGACGCCCCCAAAGGCGAAGCCAATGTCCCTCCCTCGGGGACCCCTGACCCAAAGCTGACCTAAGGCACTCCCAAACTGGGAGGAGACCTCACGGTCTTAGGCTCTTCCCAGGGCAGGACAATTGCTCCCACGGCCACACCACCCTTCCACCCTAAAGACACCCTTAAAGACAGAGAAGGTTGGGAATGACGTCCCCCAATTTGGAAGACGCCTCTTTGGTCCCGCGAACCGACTCGCACAGACACCCCCACTTCGTCTCCAGTCCCCGGCCGGGCGGCACCCCCACCTTGAGCCGCTGCACGCGGAGCTTCTCCTCCTCCAGCTCGCGGCGCGCCGTGCGGATCTGCTCCTGCAGCCGCCGCTTCTCCTGCGCAGAGCACCGGGGCTGGGCGGGGCCTCCCCTCCGCGGGGCTCCCTCCACCTCCGCGGGGGCTCCCGGGCTCCAGCCCTGCCGGGGGCACGGGGGAGGGGCCGCGGAGGCGCTGACTCAGCAGCGGCCTGGAGGGGGGCGGGGCGGGGCCGGCCGCGCCCGGGATGCTGCGGAGGCCGCGCCGCGCCCAATAGGGGTCCTTGGAGGGGGGCGTGGGGCGGGGCTTTGGGTGGGGAAATCCAGGCGGAGGGGATCCCCAGGCAGGTTCACAGAGATGGGAGGGGTCTAGATTTGGGGATGCAAAGAGGGGTGTTAGTCCGAGGTGGGGTACAGGGGGAACCCCATAGAGACGGTGAAGAGGTGGAGGACAGAGAGGTGGGGTGTCAAAGTGGGGGTCATAGAAGTGGGGGGTGCAAAAATGGGGCAGGGAAGTTGAGGTGCTAAGGGGGGCTGAAAAGTGGGGTGCAGAAGCAGGGCGCAGAGCGTTCGGGCGCGGAGAGAGAGAAGTCAAGGATGGAGGCCAGGATAGGACCGAGGGGCGGAGTCCGCAAAGGGGCTGGGTCAGAGGACCCTAAGGAGGGGTCTGAGGACGGGGCCTACGCCGCGGGGACTCGGCTGGGGCTCGGACACGGGTGTCTGGGAAGCTAGGACTCAGGGACAAGGCTTCAGGGGCTGCAGGTCTGGGCGTGCCGGGCTCACAGCCCCACCTTTCTGGGGGAGCAGAGACCAGAGGAATGGGGAAGGGAGGCTGAGGTTCAGTGGGGTGCCCTGGGCAGGGCTGCAGCTGATGAGGACGTTGCTCCCTCTAGAGCCGGACTAGTTCCCAGGTGTGGCTGAGAGGAGGAAGGGGCGGCAGGGGGCAGGGAGGAATTGGGGTTCCCGGGGCGGGGCCAGCGCTCGGGGAGGGCAGCACTTACGGCGATGACCTCCAGCCGCTGTCGGTAGAGGGAGCTCTCGGCCACCGGCCTGCAGGGACAGGGACAAGGACCCCAGCCCTTAGCGCCCTGCCTCCTGATTGCTCATTTCTAGGCCCCAAATCCTAGCCGCCCAGGACACAGAGCCCAGCGTATTTCCCGTTTGTTCCTGGGAGGAGCCTGGGCAGCGGGCGAGGGTCTAGTGAGGCCGACTAAACAGAGACTGACTGGTTAAACTGAAGTCCTTCCTATGTCTGAGGTGGCCTCTCTCTGCCTCATTTTCCTCGTCAGTCAAATGGGCGGAGATAGTTTTAACCCCCCCACCCCCAACACTGCATAAGGAAATATTCATATGGGAAAAGCATAGGATGTAGTGCTCCAAAATAGCACCATAGTTTTTACTCATCATAATTAAAATATTATCATGATTAGCACTATTTATATCAGTCGCAGTCTGTCCTGTGGAAACTCCAATTCTAGCAGGCACAGAACATGCTGTGTATCTCTGGCCAGCCCCACATTCTCTCTGGACCTCAACTTTACCCAGCCAGGATCCTTTAACTCCTGGAGGGCGGGCGGTGAGGGAAGCTGGACAGAGAAGTGACCATCTGTTGCCATGGCTACCTTGAGGCACCTCTTCCACCTGGCCTTCTGGGTGCAAGGGTCACTGGGTCACGCTGTCCAGTGCCGGACTCTGAGCTTCAAGGAAGGGGACTCTCGGTTTAAGGTTTAACCTGAGAGCTCCCCCGTCCTTGTCTTTTTTTTTCCCCCAGTGCTGTACAAGGTAAGGGGATGAACCCAGGGCCTTTGTACTGAGCTTCATCCCTGTGTGTTTTCTATTTCTTATTTTGAGACAAGGTCTGGCTAAGTTGCCATGTTGCCCAGGCTGGGGTGGAACTTGAGATCCTCCTGCCTCAGCCTCCCACAGTGCTGGGTTGCTGTTGTTGATTGTACTTCCTCAGTCACTATCTAGAGAATGACATCTATCTGCTTGTCATCCTGTCATCCAGCCATGGGTGGGCACAGAGAAATCTTCAAGGACCCATCCATTTGCACTGAGGCCTATTGGGAGAGCATGGTAACATCATCCTGTCATTCACTCAGCAGCTCCAGCTGGGACCTCCCAAACCATCCCTGGCCACCCAGGCAAGGTGCAATGGTACTTACTGTATATAGTCTCCTAAGTGCCCTCCCTGCAGGGCTCCCACAGCCACTTCCCCCTGCCCACCCTGATCCCAACTCGATGGCCACCATCCACACCAGGGCTGATGTCCCAAGTGTCAGCCAACCTCAGCCAGCTTTAGCGTGCAAACCAGGGGACTGACTCACTCCTCCTCAGGAGGTGAGTGGTAGTAATGTCCCCATTTGACAGGCAAAGACACCAGTACTCTGAGAAGTGGCAAAAGGCACTGTTTAAAATGCTTGGCAAAGCTGTGCATGGTGGCTCATGCCTGTAATCCCAGCACTCAAAAGGATGAGGCAGGAGGACTGCTGAGAGTTCAAGTCCAGCCTGGGCTACAAAGTTGAGTTCTAGGCTGGCTTGAACTACATAATGAGACCATGTCTCAAAAAGACCAAAAAGTAAATGAATAAATACATAAATATGCTTTGTGAACCCTAGCACACTCCTGTGATGCCAGTACTATGGGAGGCTGATGCAGGAGGATCCCAAGTTTGAGTCCCACTTGGGCAATGTAGTAAGATTCTGTCTCAAAATAAAAAATAAAAAGGCCTGGGAATGTAGCTCCCCAGTAAAACACACACACACACACACACACACACACACACACACACGTTTTACCTATAGCAACTCATTTTGTCTTTCCTATAACCCTAAGAGGTAAAGACTTGTCCAAGGCCATAAAGGAGGGTAACTTGAAGTCCACAGTACTCAAAAGCTGGAGGCACACTACAGACTGGGAAGGGTCCTCAGGAACCCCCATCTGGCCATGAAGAGGCTGGAAGTCAGCCTGGAGGTTCTGATCTCTGTTGGGACAGCGGACTGGAGTTATGCTTCACAGGGGCCCCTAAGGGAGCCCAGGCTCCCCACTTCTTCGTCTGCCCTCGGGGGAGCACTAAGGTCCCCCAGATGTAATCTCCCTGCCTCTTCTTCGCTGGGGGGGATCGAGTTCCCGTTGCTGGGCAACCAGGTGTGTAGTTGGTGAATAATGCAATGCAGGACCCAGAAGGGTGAGGAACAGAATTGGGGTCCCCAGTTGGGGGAGCCCCTTTTTCTAGGCCTCTTCCCAGACCCTTGGCACCGTCTCCACCCTCTACTTTAAAAAGTCCTGCGTGCTTGAATGCTACGGCTCTGCACACACACACCCCCTGCTACAGCGTGCGTTTCTGCAGTGAGATCAGTGCTGGTGGCCGCAACCCCAGGGCCTCCGAGAGCAGCTGGTGGCACTTCCTTCAGCCATCATTGCCCCGTTGCAATTCTCTTCTACAGTTTGGAAGGCGCTGGTTTCTTCGTGGACCTCAGGCATTGGGGTGACTCCTGGGCATACGAGGACAGACCCTGGGCCTCTGCACCTCCCGACAGCGTCATAGCCTTACACACCTGTCTGCCAGCAGAAAACCCTCCAAAAAAAGAATCCAGGAGCCTGTATGTCCCACCCAGCTCTCTGGGGGAGGGGGCTTTGGGGACCGTAAGGGGCTGGTCACCTCCTCCTTTCCCTGCCCTTGGGGCCCTTGGGAAAGGCCAGCTAGGGCTTAGGGCTTCCAGGCAAGATCAGGGCGCTCCCAGTGCCCCCATCCCCGTCACCAGCCCCGTGTCCGGACACTCACATGGGTGTGGCCGGAGCCCACGCCTGGCTCTGCAAGGCCATGTTCGCCCAGGAGCGCACGCACTCTGTCCGAGCGCAGCGCGGGACCCGCTCGCCGCCTGAAGGTGTCCCCGATGGTACGCTGGGACCTGGCTGGCGGGAGGGGGCCCAGGGCGGCACCAGGAGAGCTGGTCCGGCTGGTTTGCGTCCGGAGGGAGGCGGAGGCAGCCAGTCTGCTCGCTGGCGAGGGGGCTGGGGCCGGCTCTGGGAGGCACTATCAGCTGTCGGATGAATTATTTACCAGCCCTGAGCCTGCTGGCTGCTCCGCTTGGTCCAGGCAAGCACGCTGTGGCCCGCGTGGTCAGGAAGGAGGTGCGGTGGTGGGGCGCTGACCCAGGGCCCTCAGGGAAGGGCGCCTTTGTGAGGTACACCAACAAGATAGGGGGGTCAGGCAGTGACTGACCACCCAAAGCCACCATGTGCCAACAGTTCTAGGACTGGGGCCCACGGAGTGGGGGCGTCATCCAGCTGTGACTTCCTGAGCCTGGCCACCTGGGCGCTGGGGGCGCTGGGGACACTGGAGTGATTGCCTTCCACCCTGTCCTGAGCTTCTCTTTCTGGGAAAGGGGAGGATTAGCAGACCCCACAACAACCTTCCATGGAGAACGGGTTGGGGGGAATAGTGAGGTGAGTGCCGCAGGGACCCTCTCAGCCAGACCCCTGTGTCTTTAGGTTCACACCAGGAAATGGGCCCAGAGGCTTCCGCAAGAGAGGCAAGTGCTCTACCACTGAGCCACACTCTTGGCCCTTTTCAAGTTTTGTTTTGGGACAAGGTCTAAGTTGTCCACACTGGCCTCAAACTTGTGATCCTACCTGGGCATAGTGGTACACACCTGTAATTCCAGCACTCTGGGAGGCTGAGGCAGGAGGGTCACAAGTTCAAGCCCAGATTGGGCAATTTAACAATTTAACAAGACCTTGTCTGAACAAATAACAGGGGCTGGGGTTGTCACTCAGTGCAAAGCCCCTGGGTCCCACCCCCAGGACCCAGATAAAACAACAACAAAAACATCACACTTAGGACCCTTCTGCCTCAGTCTCCCGAGCGCCTGGGGTTATAGGCTTGCACCACCTCACAGGCTCCCATCTCAAGGGTCCTTGTTCAGAATCGAACTCAGGACCTTGCACCTGACAGGCAGGTGCTTGTGCTGCTGGGCTATACCCCTGGCCCATGGCATCTCATTCTTAAAGGGCCACCACCACTTTCTGCCAGTGTGTTTCACTGAACTGTGCTCCTGGAGGAGTCAGTTCCTACTTCCGGCCCAGGTGGGTGGTGCTGGTACCTGCGTACCAACAGCCCAGCTTGCAGTGTGTAGTTTTAGCCCGCACCAGGACATGAAAAACCCAGGCCAGTTTCGGGACCCACGCTGTAGGAGACATTTTGGAAAGGGCCTTGCCACTGTGGCCAGAAAGGCTATCCACTCAGACTCCCTCTTTTGCTAGATCTTACCTTAGGGGCCACTGGGCAGTGTCAGCAGAGGGCCAGGCAGAGAGTGAGAAGGAAGAGGACAGGGTGTCCCTCACGCCAGCACGGAGTCCCTTCCCCGCTGGATCTCTGTGGTGGGTGGAAGGGTGGCTCTCCTACTTCCCACGTTCTACCATAAAACTCCGAGGAAATCCTAGTGTGGTGGGACACTCCCGTCATCCCAGCGCTCAGGAGGCCGAAGCAAGAAGATCACCACAAGTTTGAGGCCAGCCTAGGCTACATAGCGAGATACTGTTTTAAAAATCAAAAACCAAAACCAAAGGTAAAAACAAAACTAAGAACAAGTTCCTAGGAAACTAAAATGTTTTAAATTGAATGTGGCTTTCTAGATCTTTTGGAAGATGTTTATCATCATAGAAAGAGAATATATGATTTGTTGTTGCTGTTGTGATTATTGTTGATATACTAGGATGAAACCCCAGGTCCCAAGGCCGGGCATGGTGGCGTATGCCTATAATCCCAGCACTTGGGAGGCTGAGGCGGGAGGATCGCTGCGAGTTTGAGACCAGCCTGGGCTACAAAGTGAGCTCAAGTCCAGTCTGAACTACATAGCGAGACCCTGTCTCAAAAAGACCAAATAAATAAATATAAATAAACCCTAGGCCTCATGTTTGCTCTGCCACAGAGCTTCATTCCCAACCCTTTAACTTTTTTTTATGTCAAGACAAGATCTTGCTAAGCTGCCCATGCTAGGCTTGAACTTATGATCCTCTTCCCTTAGCCGCCTGAGTAGTTGGGATTACAGGTGTGTGCCACCATACCTGGCAAAACTGTACCTTTCAATGTTTTTTCTATTCTTTTCTTTTTTCTTCTTTCTTTTAAGAGACAAGGCCTTGCTATGTCCCTCAGGCTGGTCTTAACTTCCAGGTTTAAGTGATTTTCCTGCCTCAGCCTCCCAAGTAGCTATGATTAGAGGCATGTGTCACTGAGTCCACCTTAAATGACTAGTATTTATTTGTTTCTTGAGACACTGTCTCAGTATGCTGTCCAGGCTGGTCTTGAACCTAGGGCTTTGAGTTGCTAGGCAAATGATCTACCACTGAGCCACATTTTCAACCCCTAAAGTATTTTTTAGTCAGGGTAAAATACACATGCCAACTTTTGCCGTTAGTACCATTTAGCACATTCATTGCCAGCATCAGCTCTATCTAGTGCCAGAACATTTTTTTTGGTTTTGTTTTCTTGAGACAGGGTCTCACTATACAGTCCAGGCTGGTCTTGAACTCACTATCTAGCCCCAACTAGCCTTGAACTCCCAGCAATCATCCTGCCTCAGCCTTCTGAATGCTGAGATTATAGGCATGAACCACCACACCCAAACCCCAACTTCCAAAACATTTACATTACCCCAAAGAGAAGCCCTAGCCCCATTATCAGTCACTTCCCATCCCTCTCCCCAGCGTTGGGGACGGTCAGTCAGCGTCTGTCTTTATGGATCTGCTTGTTCCAGATACTTCATACAAACAGAATCATGTACTAGGGTAAGTCACCACCAGTGTCTGGCTTCTGTCTCTCTGCATCATGTCCCACAGTCCATCCATACTGCAGCATGGACCATCACTGTTCCTTTCTATTGCTGTCTGATATTCCATTTTTGGATGGGTCACACTCTGTTGATTCATTCATCTATCACTGAACATTTGGGTTGTTTCTACCTGAGAGTGTATTTTACTATTTGTAGCTTGACTTTGTGACTGTTAGTTAGATGTCAGGTGGGGGTAAGGTACATCCATTTTCCCAGCACTTTGAGGGGCTGAGGCAGAAGGATGGAAAGTTAGAGCCTGGCATGGATGACTCTATCAGTCAGCTTTTCTGCTGCTGGGACAAAATACCTGACACCGGCGATAGAAGGAGAGGGTTATTTGGCTCCGGATTTCAGCGAGTTCAGTCCATGGCTGGGGCTCCAAGGCAGAAACTGCATGGAGAAAAGCCTGCAGGAGAAGAGCTGTTTGCATCATGGCAGCCAGGGAGCAGAGAGAGAAGGAGAAGGCGGAGATGCTCTTCCAGGTCACACCTCAGTGACCCAGGCCCCCATCTTCACACATGGGATTTGAGGGAACATTTTATTTTTTGTTTTGTTGAGACAGGGTCTCACTATGTAGCTCAGGCTGGCCTCAAACTCAGGGCAATCCTCCTGCCTCAGCTTCTTAAGGGCTGGGATGACAGGCATGGGCCATGACACCCAGCTTCAGGGGCCATTTTAGATTTAGACCACAAAAGCAAGTTACCAGCTTAGCAAGAACTTGACTCAAAATAAAAAATTAAAAGGGCTGAGGATGTAGCTCATTGCAAAGGCCCTGGGTTCAATCTCCAACACTGAAGAAAAAAAAAAAAAGAAAGAAGTGCTCTTTTCTTTTACTGTCATCTTGGGGGGCGTACCACATTGGCCAGCTATGCTGTGTCATAACTGTCTGTTATAGGCCAGGTGTACTAGTACACACCTGTCATCCCAGCACTTGGGAGGCTGAGGCAGGGGGATCATCATGAGTTTGAGGTCAGCATGGGTTACATAGTGAGACCCATCTCAGAAAAACAAAAAAAAATTTTTTTTGGTACTGGGGCAGAAACCTAGGGATATTCTACCACTGAGGCCTTTTATTTTTCACTTTATGTATTTATGCACATAGTTATTTTTTGTTTGCTTGTTTGTTTTTGAGACAGGGTCTCACTATGTAGCCCAGGCTGGCCTTAAGCTCACAGGGATTCTCCTGCCTCAACCTCCTGAGTGCTGGAATTATAGGCTTGTGCCACCATACCTGGAAGTTATTTAATTGTTTTTTCTTTTCTCCCCCAGCAGTTATTTCTTTATTGCAGTACTGGGCAATGAATCCAGGGCCTTCACATTGAGCAACACCCTCAGCCCTTTTTTAACAAATTTTTAAAATTTTTGAAATAGGGTTTTCCTAAGTCAGGGTTTTCTTATATTGCCTAACCTGATCTCGAACTCATGCTTTTCCTGCCCCAGTTCCTGAGTAGCTGCGGTTACAGGTGTGCACCGCCATGCCTGGCGGGAAGGTGAATTTGTGTTCTAGGTTTGGTAGGAGAGTTTGGGGAGAAGTGGTGGCTGGGTCCAGGGTGCAGAGGGGTGAGTGAGTTCAGAATATGCTTGGAGAGAGGAACATGGGGTTTCCTGGTAGGTTGGGGAGGGGCTGAGGAAAGAGAGAAATTGAAACCAACTTCCAGGTCTTTGGAATGAAGGACCAAGTGGCTGGAGTTGCCTGCCACACACAGTGACAGGGAGTAGAATTGAGGGAATCCAAAGTTCAGTTTTGGAAGCATTCAGTCTGAGGTTTGTTTAACCCTGAGCTTTTGATCTGTGCCTAAAGCTCAGGGCAAAGATATAAATTTGGGAGACATCAGAATTGAGATGGTGAGCTGGGCATGGCAGTGCACGCCTGTAATCTCAGCACTCAGGAGGCTGAGGCAGGTGGGTCTTTGTGAGTTTGAGGCCAGCCTGGGCTACAAAGTGAGCTCAGGCCAGCCTGAACTGCATAGTAAGACCCTGTCTCAAAAAGACAAAAACAAACAAACAAACAAACCATCAGAATTGAGATGGTGTCTTTTTTTTTTTTTTTTCAGTGCTGGGGTTCTAATTTTTTTATTTATTTTGAGATAAAGTCTGTCCAAATCACTGAGTTTCCTGGGCTGGGCTCCCCCCCAACCCCCCACAGTACTGGGATTTTTTTGTTGTTGTTGTTCCACCTGGGCTGGACTTGAAGTTGTGATCCTCCTGCCTCAGCCTCCCAGAATGCTGAGATTTCAGTGGTGTGCACCACAGCCAATTAACTGATGAGAATTTAAGGAAGAGATGGGTCACAAAGTTATTGTGGGTCCCATGGCAAATTGCTCTGGGGTAGCAACACCCTGTTGCAGGTACCACCCTCCTGGCCCTGGAGGGACCAGAGGGCAGCAGAGTCTGGGAAAGTCCCTGCAAAGCAGAAGTCAGGAAAGAGTGGTGCGGATCTAGGAGGACATAGGGAACCACCGACCAGGCTGGCCACAGGGAGATTGCAGGTGTCTGTGGTTGGAGAGGGCTCTATGGGATGGGGCTAGGGACCTGGTTAGCCTGGCTGGGGGAGTGACCTGGAAGGGACCCAGGGGAAATAGCTAGAGGGACATAGCTTGTAGGGAATCACAGGTTTCCTCCTTGTCACCACTCCAGGAGTCAGGCACCACTGTCCCCATTCTGCAAATAGGTGAATGGCCCTGTAGAAGGTTTGCACCTTGCTGGGGTTATGAGTGGGGTGGCACCCACCTGGCTTGATTCTAATTAGGCTGATGAGGTCACATGGGGTCAGTCAGATGGTCAGAAGGAGGGTGCAGCAGTGTGAGTTTGGGATTCAAGAGAGGGAAGGGGTAGTCCTCTGGGAGGCTGAGGCAGGAGGATTGCAGTCCTGGCAAGTTAGTCTTAGGGAGACCCTGTCAGAAAGAAGGAAAGAAAAAAGGAAAGAAAGAAAGAAAGAAAGAAAGAAAGAAAGAAAGAAAGAAAGAAAGAAAGAAAGAAAAAAAAAGAAAGAAAGGGAGAAAGAAAGAGGAAAGAAAGAAGAGAAAGGAAAGAAAGAAGGAAGGAAGAAAGGAAAGAAAGAGAGAAAGAAAGAAAGAAAAAGAAAGAAAGAAAGAAAGAAAGAAAGAAAGAAAGAAAGAAAGAAAAAGAAAGAAAGAGGAGAGACAAAAGAGAAAGGCAGGAAGGGAAAGGAGGAGGAAAGAAGCTGAAGTAGGGCTGGGGATTTAGCTCAGCGGCAAAAGCGCCTGCCTGGCAAGAGCAAGGTCGTGAGTTCGGTTCCCGGTACCGGAGGAAAAAAAAAAAAAAAAAAAAAAGAAGCTGAAGTAGCTCAGTGGGAAGTGTTCAATCCCCCCTACTGAGAAAAAGGGGTGGGGTGGGGAAGAGGGAGGTAGGTGAAAGAGCAAAGGTCAGGCTGGAAGGGGTGATCAAATAGTCAAATAGTTGGGTTACTGGGTGTTCCTGAGGCTGTGTAACCCTTCCCCCTTTTCTTTAGGAAACTTTCATGTTTCTTCCTGGTTATCCCAGATCGGTGGTGGTGGTGGTGGCGGTGTGGACCAGTTCCGGCAAAAGCCTAGTTCTGCTTCATCATTGTAATCCCAGCCCTCGGGTGGCTGAGGTAGGAGGATGAAACAGTTCTAGCCCAGCCTAGGCAATTTAGGGACTTAGGGAAACCCTGTCTCAAAACAGAAAATAAAACAGGGTTATTAGATGTAACGAAGGCCCTGGCCTCCACAGGGGGGGAACTGCGTCGGGGCCTCGATCCTGCCCTTGAACCTGACCTGGTCTCCACCTCAGGCCGCTGCTATCTGCAGCTCCGTGGGTGTCCCAGGCCCCGGTATGGGCCTCCCCAACGCCTGAGTCCATCCCCCTCCTCTCTACCTGCTAGCGCCCTTGGCCGCACCTGCCCCAGCCTCCGCAGGGATCGCAGGGCAACCCGCTGGGGCGGGGGATGTCTCATGGGGAGAGGAGTGGGGAGACCCAGGTCCTAGCGCCCCCTGAAACCTCGGCCCTTACGCCGGGCACGGAGTTGGGTCCCCGAGGCCAGGGCCTTGCTGGACCGGGCGGCCCAGGCTGGTGGGGGACGGCTTCGGGGTTGAGGCCCCTCTCTGCATCCTCGGGGCCAAGTCTCCAGGTGAAAGCGGAAGACGTGGGACCGAAAAGGTACTACGGCAAGACCAGCAGGACGCCGGCCTGGAGCAGGACGCTGTGACCCAGAAGACGGCTCAGGGGATCCCACCGAGCGGCCCCCCCTACCCTGAGGGCGGAGCCAGGGCGGGGCCCAGAGCTGCCCGCAGGTGCACGGGCAAGCGGGCCCTGCCCTCCGGGGCGCTCAGAGGCCAGAGGCGGGTCACAGCGACCGGCGGGCGACGCCCTAGAACCGTGAGGCGACTGCGGCCACAGGTGCTGCGCAGGGCACCGTGTCAGCCTGGCGCTGGCGCCCAAAGCTTCCAAGCTGCTTGTAACCCTGGACACCGAGGCCCCCGGGCCGGAGGGTGGAGTCCTGGGGTCTCTCGAGGAGCAGGGCCAAGAGCCCTCCGGGCTCAACAGCGGAGACCCGGAGCCCGCTGCACTGCAGGCCCCCGAGGTCCCCAGGCCGGGCCGTGAGATCCCCGAACCCTCCTCGGAGCAGGACGTTGAGACCCCCGAGCCGGGGAGCAAGATCCTGCAGCCACCAACGGAGCAGGACGCCGAGCACTGGGGACCGTGCGCAGCCGCGGGCTCCGAACGTCCAGGGCCAGGTAGCGACCACGGTCCCGGGCTGTGTGCGGTGCCCAGTGCGGAGGTCTCGGGGCAGCCCCCACCGGCTAGGCCTGAGACCCCAGCCTCGGGCTCAGACGCGGAGGCTTCCGCGCGGCGCCTGCCGCGGGTTCCCGAGAATCCCGAAGGTTGCCCCGGGGAGCCGCCCATGGAGACGCCCATTGAGCGCGAGATCCGCCGCAGCTGCGAACGCGAGCAGAGCCTGCGCCGGAGCCGGGGCCTGAGCCCAGGCCGAGCGGGCCAGGAGCTGGTGGAGCTGCGCGTGCGGCCGCTGCTGCACCTGCCAGGCCCC